GTGAATTTCTTTATCTGAGGACAGAGATAAAAACAAAAGAGTATGGCTGAAACTTATGATTTTTTTTAAAGAGGCCTGAGCTGTTTGCAGATCTCTTAATTATGTGGGATTTGAACAACAAGCTATCCCTCCTCTGAAGTTCATATAGTCAGGAGAAGGTAAAACTTATCTGTTTTTCAGCAGTTATTTTCTATTATGCCCCCTGAATTTTCTATCCTGCATGTAAAATTAAGAAATTTGGCAGGGATCACAACAGATTTAAATCAAAATTTAGGTTGAACCTATCTGTGGCTCTCTCTTCTTTTTGAACTACTCAAGCACCCTCATAGGCCATTCACTGATATCTCAGGCCAAGAACTGTTTTATTTTTCTGATCCCTGAGTTCATACTTCATATCTGGGAAAGTTTGATCCTAATCATCATCACGTTGGATCCCCTAAGCTTACTATGTTTGGGGACTGAAATATTTTTTGTTACTTTTGAAAAATCTGTTTTATTTTTCCTAAATTATATGTGAATGAGCTCCCTTCATGGTTTTGATGAAAATTTTAGCCACAGAAAATCTTTTATGTAAAATAGCTTAATAAATTTTTGGTGATGGGTTCACAGAATAGGGATTTGTACTGCAATAACAATAAATTGATGGTTAAATATTCAGTTCTTTAAAATATATTAGTAACCAGGTATTTTTAACTGGCTTTCTTTGGTCCACAGAGGGCCAATTTCACACCATCTTTTAAACTTTCTCTTAGATGTTTCTCTTCCACCTCTACCGTCTCTTTTTATTCTTCCCACCCATTCTCTTTCCCAGTTTCTCACTCCCTCTCATGGTAGTCCTGACCAATTCAAAGTATTTATTACGATTTCCCTCTTAAAGTCTAGATGTAGGACTTCTTTCTTTATTTTAATCTTTGTTTAGACCTTTAGCTCTTAAAAGAGGGATACTGTTTTAGGTATTATTCAGTTATAGACAACATTGGTAGCTGTCTTTTTGAGCTTCATCTTTCCATTCACACATTCACTTATTTTTATGGTATTTATTAGGTATCTATTTATCTATCTCAGGTAATATATGCTTGTCTGTAAGTCTTCTTACAATTTTCCTATTTTTTCAACTATTTGTTGACTTTTGAGTTGACCAGACCTTAATTCTTCCTCATCTGCTGTTCTGATATTCGAAGTACTCATCTCATTCATTCACTGCCAGAGCTTCAAGTTGTTTATATATACAGTTGCCTCACAGGTCACTTTACCTGGCATCTTATGTTAATATAAAGCTCACTTTTAAGTGAATTCTATCTCTGTTAACAAGACACAGAGCTAATATTTTACTTACAAACAACCTCAAGTGAATACTTACAAGTCAATATGTCTTTCTAATTTTACCATCATTGCTAGTGGTTCAATTGGTCTCCAGATGTGACAGAAGTGGTCTTAAAAACAATGAGTGCAATGTCCAATTACTCCCCCAAGAACTTTTTCATATAAACTAATTTAAACTTAAATTGCCATTTAAGGTTAGATATTGCATACCTTGCCATACAGGGCTTTCCAACCGAATGAGCCTCTATCTCAAGTAAATCCATTTGCTTTTCAATCCGAACAAATTTAAAATCCATTTTACTCGTAGTGTTTTCTAGAAAAAGGCTTATCTTTCTGGAAGGATTACTGAAATGCTTGAAAGAAGTATGTGTTCAATAATACTTTATTTAAAGGCTGAAATATCATAGCTAAAATATCATTTTGCACCCTAGTTGTCCATTTGAACAGCATTGAAAGAGAGAGTAGTAAGCCTCAGTTCCAGTATGGATTTTTTTTTCAGTTGTTTTTCACCTAAGTCTAATAAATGTCTGTTATAAAATTTCACTTGAAACATAAATGTGACCGTTCTCATTCTTAGTTTCATAAGTATCTGAAAACATATTTGTGCAGCCGCCTTTGGTAGTGCTGTTGAGGCTGTTTTAACCCCTCTGAATTAATCCAACCAGCAGAGAGATGAAATAATTTTTACCAAAAGTGACTGAAAATATTTTATCTACCCATATTAAAAGACATGGTAGTAAAAAGTTGAGTAAGCAAACTTACTATGTATTATATAAAGATGGTATTGCTCATTTATTTAAATTACATTAATTTAGTACATATGCATTGCATAATACTTTATTATTTTCCCAGAAACAATATCTTTGATTTCAGTATCAGACATTGTTGCATTTGTGTTTCTTCAATTTGTCTTTATGATCAATATTTAAAGTCTTGATTGTTCTTCTGTATGATTTGCTGTAATTCTCAGTGCTAAATTCATAACCTACTTCTGAAACATTTCATTTGCCTACTGATGTAATACCTACACAGTCACACAGTTTGTTGAATTTGTTTTCTCTCTACATCACATCATTACATTCTTCTAATTTTCCTCTGCATTCTCAATCCTTAGCATTATAATATGCATTTCGTTGCATATATACAGTATCTGAGCAGTTTCTATAAAGCCTTTCCTGTTGTTATTACCTATTCCTGGTGTCTCCACTGACTAAACTATATTTCATACTACCTACACACACAAACAAACACACACATATACAGATATTAGAAGGAGCTTATATCTGTAACTCGTTTTACAAGTGTTGTAAATTATATAGCATTTCTAGAACCAAAATACTGTTTGCAAATTAGGAAAGATTATATTGATACTTGCATGTTTTATAAATATAATTCATAAATATGAATTTTCAGATAGGTGCTTTGCTTAAAAGAGAGTACTCTAATGCTTGATGATTAACATGTATAGTCATAAAAAAGTGCTAAAACATGTTCTTTTGCATAAGTGTACTTAACCGGAATTTTACCATGAGATGGTAGCAACTTTTAATAATTGCCATGCAGAAATTAATAGAATGATTACACTTCATACATATTTTCATCTTCTAAGTAAAGTCAATTGGCATACACTAAAATCTGTAACAAGTCCTACTCATATAGTTCTACACACACTCATTTCAACTGTGATGAAATATTTTAGCAGAACAAATAATTTATGAATAAAATGTAATTTACTGAATACCTTGGCAGTTAATGTTGATCGCTTCATCACAGTTCAGTCATGTTTAGAAAATTTAAGCAAGCTGTGTGATTACTCCAGGAAGCATGGAATGATGTGTTCAAATTAGTACCATCTGTGGATAGAAAAAAATCTGAGGTTTTTAGTCATTCTTAAAGAATGGAAATCTGATTCTCCATGCTAAAATGGTGTAATCCTTTTTGTATTTGTAATTTAATAGGGCAGTTGCCTTGAAATAGTCTAGTTCAAAACACAGTTCACCAGAAGAGAAGATAGTGAATATAATGAGGGTTACTGCTGGTCAACTATGAATACTTGTGAAGTTATCCTGCCAAAAACAACCTATGAATTGTTCTACAGATATGTTCATTTGTGGTACATCTTTTCCCAGTTCCTTTCCCTGTTCCATCTTACCTGTTTCTTTACCTGACTGTCTTTTGTGCAAGGGCTGCTCTCATCTCCTAGAAATGACTTGAATTCTTTATTAAGAATTATCTCCATTCTCTGTATGATAAAGATTAGGTAGACTGTACTATAAATAGCATGTGAAGTATTTTATTTTTAGGGTTACTTTTAAGGTAATGCTAATTAAATGAAATAAGATTTAGTAATAAATGTTAGGAGTTGTAAACTGAGTAACTGAAATTGATTTTGTAATAAAATAATAAATAAAATCATGTCAAGAATATAATGATTGTTCTCCATTAATTTAGACCTGTTTTCTTCCACTTGTGTGGGTAGGTGTAAAATATCTATATAGAATTGAGAAAAATTTTAAGAAGAAATTCAATCTTTTAACTAAATCTTAGACTGTTCACATAGAGCTCTAGACTCAAGCATTTATCTATATTTTATATCTTCTTTTGGAAGTTTTAAGGGCTTTTCTGAGTCAACATACTCATATAAAAGCTTGAATTTTATCCTCAAAGCTTCCCCCTTCTAGTTTCTCTTTGTGTTAGTAGTGACATCATCCTTCACTTTGGGCAACTGAAAACCTTAGTGTTTTCTTTTACTCCTGCCAATCTCTCACACTGCACATACCACACATCAGAATATCTGGTCTGTTCTCTTGTAAGATCTATTTATGAGCTAAATACTTTTTTCACTGCTACTGCTACCATCTTAGTCCAGGCCTACAAGAGCTCTTGTATCAACACTGACATTGAATACCTGCTAACTAGTATCTTCATTTCCATCCTTTTCTGCCTTCTATCTATTCTCAGCTTGGTGGTTAGTGTGATTCTATGAAAGCGTATGTTAGAGAGAGCCTCCTGCTCTTACATAGACACTTCTTGGCTCAAATGAAAGCCAAAGCAATGTCCTATAATAAAGTAGATAATCTGTCCTTCAGTCTTTCTTATCAGATATTGGCTGGGCTACTATCAGTCATTCTGACCTCTTGATTATTCTTCAAGTTCAGAAATCATGATTATTTTAGGCCCTTAATAATTCTCTTCTGGAGATCATGTGATTGTAGTTAGAATTCCAGTGCCTTAGTCTATGTTTTAACATCAGTGTACTTGAGGGTGCTCTATAAAAGGTTCTGGTAAGCTTAAATATGCACAAATAATAAACATCATGTGAAATATGCTTATGTCTATAGAGACCCCTAAATATGAAAATGATTTTTCTTGGGAACCAAACACTAAAAATACAGAATATACCTAGGGAATTACTTAGGATGATATGAGCACATGATTTTCTTTTCTACCAGCAAAAGTTTTCTTTCTATCTGAACCCAAGTTTGCAGAAATCACGGGCTTAAAAATCATGACCTTTTTGTTATTGTGCTATTTTGTTATTTGATGTTTAAGGGCTGTAGTATTTGATCGATTTCCACTGGCTGCATCATCACAGAATATTTTTACATCTCATTTCTTCGGTTTACAAATGATTGATAACTCTGGTTATTTCTGTTTGTTTTCCTTTTAATATTTAGTTCCCAGTGCACCCACAAACATCGCTTTGTCCAATGTTCAGTCGACTAGTGCAACACTGACATGGATGAGACCTGATACTATCCTTGGCTACTTCCAAAATTACAAGATAACCACTCAGCTTCGTGCTCAGAAATGCAGCGAATGGGAATTTGAAGATTGTGTTGAGAACCAAAACATTCAATACCTTTATGATGCTGACCTCACTGAAGAGACAGTGTATGGACTGAAGAAGTTTAGATGGTATAGATTCCAAGTGGCTGCCAGTACCAATGCGGGCTACGGCAATGCTTCCAACTGGATTTCTACACAAACCCTGCCTGGACGTGAGTAGTACCCTGCCAGGGACATCCTGAATTTGGTTCTGCTTTGTGTCAATATTCTAAAGATTTTGCCTTAATCCAACTGTGCAGAAAGTCACTGAATATAAAATTAAGTTATTATACAGGCAGGCTAGCTTAAGCAATAACATGTTTTCATTCAACTAAATCCAGTAGAAAAATCATTTGTGCTTATTATCAAGGATTTTTCTTAAGTTTCCAGAATTTTGACAAATTGCCTACTGCAACAAAGCATTATAAAAAGGTTCCATTGTGTTTTGACAAGTCACATACTGCAACAAAGCATTATAGAAAGGCTCCATTGTGGTGTATCATTTAGGCCATGTTAACTGCTCCCCAGTGCCCCTGATTGGTATCTCTATACTCTTTTAAAAATGTTAGATTGAGGGAACAAAAAATACAAAAATATGTATCTCAACAGTATAATGTCATCTGCATTTCTTTTGCAACTTTTACATCCAGGAAATCTCCTTAGATGCCTTTGCATAGAAACTACTAAAGTGTAGATAAAGATTGCTCTTACAACACACACACATATATATATATACACACACACACACACACACACACACACAAGCATGTATATATGTGTGCACATGTACATATACACATATATATGTATGTTACAAACATAAATATAGAGAGATAGATAAAGAGAGTTAGTATTGAGGCTTGAATTTGGTGCCTGGGTTTTCCCTTAGCTTTTTTACTCAAAGCTGGCACTCTACCACTTTAGGCTCAGCTCCATTTCTGGCTTTTTGGTGGTTAATTGAAGATAAGAATTTTGTTGTTGGGGCTGGGAAGGTGGCTCAGTGGTAGAGCGCTTGCCTTGCATTCATGAGGCCCTGGGTTCAATTCCTCAGCACCACATAAGCAGAAAAAGAAAAAAAAAGCCAGAAGTGGCACTGTGGCTCAAGTGGTAGAGTGCTAGCCTTGAGCTAAAGAGCTGAGGGACAGCGCCCAGGCCCAGAGTTCATGCCCCACGACCAGACCCCCCCCCGCAAAAAAAATGTTTTATTGTTGCCTCCTACAATGCTTGATAAGAAATGTACTCATTACCTTGCTCATGTAACTGTAACCCCTCTGTACAGTATTTTCACAATAATAAATCATTAAAAAAAGAATTTTATTGATGTTCCTGCTCGGGTTGATTTTTAAACCCAATCCTCAAATCTCAGCCTTCTGAAAGTCAGGAGTGAGCCACCAGCACCTATGTTCATATTGTAAAACTTAAAAGTTTGTATTTTAAAACTTCAACTGGTCATCCTGGTTTTTAAAACACATTTTCATAAATGATATTTGTATCAGTAAATTTCTAATTCTTACTCTGAATTCTCTCTATAAACAGTTGTGTTGACTTCCATGCAGTACTGATAAAATTACCTGCAGTGTCTTGCAAGACAGTACAAATTTAAAGCCACTACAAATTTTACTACCCTTCCCAATACCATCTACCCATGCCCTCCAAATATGGATCTTTCTTTGGTCACCAAGGCTCTTACTCAGTGATTCCTTTCAAATGCAAATTATATTTTCTTAAAAAATAATGGGACTTATTCTTATAGTAGCATACCTCACACACATACATAATCGATTCTCAGTGACAAGTGAATCCTATGTTAGACCATGAAATATACTTTAATCCAGAACATTTATTAAAACTACTAAATATGCCCCTTTTTACTATTCCCCATAGCACTCCTGTTTGTGGGAGTGAATGTTTAGCAAATCTTTGTTAATGTTCTCCAACATTTGAGGTAGAATATTGATAAATCAGCCTTTAACATATTTTCTACTACTTTTTGTTCTAGTGCTTTGACTTTTGGTTTCTGGAAGATGGACCTTTTTATTTTTTTCTCCTTTCTCCCTAGCTAGCTTTTCCTCCTTTGCTGACTGGACCTTATACTAATATTTTTTTTTAGTTTTAGGAGATCTAGACCTGTTATTTTCTATTCTTATCAGCACACATGCTGAAGAGATTTTACCTTTCTGTAAGTGTCCTTGTGACCTATAGCTTTAGAGTCTACTTCTAAGCTGAATGTTCTCCAGTCACTGAGTGAAGTCCTGAAGCTTAATCTAGAACTCTAGGTCAATTTCTTTATTTAATAAATTGATACTACTAGACATGCATATTATTGGACCTTCTCATCCTTGAATTCCTTTTGTCTTCATAGCAGATACTATTATTATTTGTCTGCTTGCAGAAAATGAAAATCATCTTCTCTCTGCCAGTGACTCATTTCGACAACACCATCTAAATAGGTCCGGTCTTCATATGCATTGCTATTGTATGACTCCAACCCTTCCTTGCTTGCTAGCACTGTGTGAACCAGGCTGATCACCTAAACTGTTACATTTGTATTAGAAAACCTAACAGATGAGTCACTTTTGTGTTTAAGCTGCCAATGAGTTCCCATAGCTTAAATGATAAAATATAAATTCTTTAGCAAGTTTAGCAAAGCCCTGCATGATTGCTTTCTACCTAATACTTTACCTTTATTACCACTTTCCCCCTTTTTTTAACCTACTACTCACATTACACTGTATTTGCTACCTAAAAATGGAAAGTAAACTTTAGCCCTATGTCTTTGCCCAACATTTTTTATTTGGGTGGAATGTTCCTCCACATCTCTCTTCACATGAGCAGAAGATATGTATAGATTTCTATTTAATTCTAATAATTCTTGCTCAGAATAAATTTCCCTGACCATTCAATCTGAAAATATCTAGGTAGCAATTTTATATAACACTATGTTATAACCAACAGTTAACAATTACCTTATCTTTTTCATTTTTTTTTCATTTGATTTTAGAGAATACCTTGATCACTGCCATTTCCTATCACCTTGAGTCATGCCTGGTACTAGTAGATAATCTAGGTATTTCTCAAATGAGTGAAATTTGTTGGAATAAGCTACAGTAGGTAATAGAATAAGCTACATACAGGTGATAGTAATAATGACAGTGCCATGAAAAGAAGAGAGACATATGAGAACTGGTTCATTCTGGAATCAGTTAATAAGAGTCACAATTACGGACCTACTGATTTTAAAAGAAATGAAATGAAAAGGATTCTTGAGATTACAACATCACTAAAGCTAAGGGTTATAGTTCCCTTAGCTAGTAGCAGTAAGTAAAATTACAAAGGCAGATGTGATAGAAAAGTGGGACATTGATTGAATAATAAATGTGGAAATCACAGGAACTGAAGTAATTTGGAGTCAGACAAATACCATTTTGAATGAAGTTGGCTACTGGTAGATGATTGGGAGTGATGAACCCTTGGCAAGTTAATAGAGCATGTGTCCTCTATAAAGGGACCACATTATTGCTAGCTAGTTATTATCCTACAGACAGCCCACGCTTTTAAATCTTCCGACGTTTCCAGGGAAACTGGAAGATTAGGCACTTTTGTGTGAAAATATCCCATTTCTTCTTTGCAACTAATTTTTTAAAAGTTAAAAAGATGTAGCTGCTTTATCTAAACATGCCAGATCAAGCCAGTAGATACCTCATGTTAAAATATATCTATGCAACTTGTGATAGGAGAGATTCTGCCTGCTTCCCATAAGCATGCCATTCAGGGAGTACCTAGTCCTGCCTAATAAAGTAGTCGTTCCAATGTACCAGCTCTTATAAGCACCCTTTAAGTAATTACAAAAATGTTTATTTAGCACACAACAACATCTAAAAAGGCAGTGCTGAAACTAACAAATATTTCAACTTTTGAAATTATGTCAGTGAATTGAGTCCTTTGACCTAAGGAATGAAGAGATTTTTTTGCTTTTTGCCTCTAGTTGAAGAGGCAACTAATGATAAGTGCCCAGGCTGACCCATTGTAACAAGGAGGCATAGAAGACACTATGTTGAAAAGGGACTTTACAACTTCAGGGTGGGGAGGAGTTGGGGAGGTGAGGAGCGAAGGGATGGTAGGGGAAAAACAAAGGAGGGGGTAACAATGCTCTATAGGAAATATATCCATTACTTTACTCATGTAACTGTAACTCCTCTGTACAGTATCGTTACAATAAAAAAATTAAAATATATGCTTGAATTTCTAAATCTCCTAATTATATGGTAAAGGAAAATTTATATTTATTATACAATGTCAAGGAGAGATCATCTGAGATTGCATTGATATAAAAAACAAACACTTATGTGTATCACACATATTACCACATACATATATAACATGTGTGTACATACACTGCATATATAATCTGTTGTAAAATAACATTACTAAATTAGAGAAGCCAAGTAGTATAAATCATAAAGAGCTGTAGTAGTTTTTCTTTTCCTCCAATCCTGAGGCTTGAACTCTGGGCCTGGGCTCTGTCCCTGAGCTCCTTGTGCTCAAAGATAGTGCTCTGTCACTTGAGACATAATACCTTATCTGGCTTTTTCTGTGATTAATTCGAGGTAAGAGTCTCACAGACTTTCCTGAATGGGCTGACTTCAAACTACCTCAGATCTCAGTCTTCCGAGTAACTAGGATTATAGGAATAAGCCATTGGCACCCAGATTCAGCAGTAGTATTATTTTTAGTAATCAAATAATGTTTACATAGTTATTGTGCATATCAAATATTAACATTTGGACATTTTATAAGCAAAAATTCATTTGGATAAAGAACCTTAGTGAACTATGTATTATTCATTTATTTCTGAAATTGGCTTTTATTTTATGATACATCCTAATATTTTTTTAAAAGCCTGAAGATAAGTATAAAAGCCTCTAAAATGCCTTGTAGTGTAAGAAATATGCTATTTTTAAACTCTGAGCTTATGAAGAGAGGAACAAAACTAGGAATCCAGGGAGCAAAGTAAGAATATAATGAGAATTAAATTGAGTTAGTCTCTGAATCTGAATCTACAGAGGTACACTAGAGTGAATAAAGGAAACAATATTTGGCAAACTCGGGCTAACATTCCCTTCCTCCATATACTCTGATCTGTGTAATGGAAGCCAAATTGTATTTCTCCTTG